CAGGAAATATTTAACTTACTGCCTGATACAAGTCGGCCTGAGCTACAAAAAGCGTTTGCTACACAAACTAATGATAGCATGATGACTCTTTATCTTGGTATAATTAGGGTTTAGGGTTTAGGGTTTAGGGTTTAGGGTTTAGGGTTTAAGGGTGGGTTATGGGGAGAGGAGGGTATATTGTCTGATAGAGTTTATCTGGTCGTTGAAGGCTGAGGGTTTGGTGTTTAGGGTTTAGGGTTTAGGGTTTATGAGGTTTAAGGGTTTTAAGTGTGCCTCTTTAGGGCTTAGGGTTTGAGGGTTTAGGGTTTAGGGTTTAGGGTTTAGGGTTTAGGGTTTGTGGTGCAGCAACTGTAGTTCGTTCGGTGTTGGCTTTGCATAATTTAATTGACAATAAAATTCAAAACAAGAGAGATGCAGAGCAAAAGGAAAAGGTAGGGTTTAGGGTTTAGGGTTTAGGGTTTAGGGTTTGCTAGTTGTATATATACTGTTTTGCCGTGTCTCCTCCCTCTTTGCATTTCTTGCTGCCTTCTGTGTTTCGAGGGTTTAGGGTTTAGGGTTTAGTGTCTTATCTTCTTCACGTCTTCTTCTTCTTCTAGGGTTTAGGGTTTAGGGTTTAGGGTTTATTCTTTTTTCCTTGTAGGAGGCAACAAAGGCAGAAGAAGAAAAGCAGAAAAAGGCAGTGGAGGCATAAGCGTGTGCATGCAGTGAAAAGCCCCATAGCTGCTGCTGCTGCTGCAACAGCAGCAGCAACAGCAGCACCAGCAGCAATAGGAAACAACCAAAGGCTGCTGCTGCTCTTGCAGCAGCAGTTTGCTGACGCAGCGGATTCACCCCGCTGCTGTTGCTGCTGTTGCAGCAGCAGGTTGCTGCAGAAGGGAATTCTGCTGCTGCTGTTGCCGCAGCAATTTGCTGCAGCAGCGAATTTAGCTGCTGTTGCTGCTGCTGTTGCTGCTGCTAGCAGCAGCAGGACAATGAAGGCAAAAGAACTCCATTACGGAGGACGGCGTCTGCATGCTGCTGCTGCTGTAGCAGCAGCAGCTGCAGCAGCTGCTGCAGCCGCAGCAGCAGCAATTAAACAAACACAGTTAGCTGCGCTGCTGCAGCAAAGCAGCAGCGGCAGTCTCTTAGTCATGCAACAACCAAACCTGCAGCAGCAGCAACAGCAGCAGCAGCAGCAGCAGCAGCAGCAGCAGCAACTGTATTTGTCACTAACCCTAGACCCTAGACATCTCTAAACGTCTCTCAATGTGTTTGCCCAAACCCTAAACCCTAAACCCTAAAACCGCCCAAACCCTAAACCCTAAACCCTCTAAAAAAAAAACCCAAACCCTAAACCCTAACCCCCCCATCCAAACCCTAAACCCTAAACCCTAACCCCTCCCCAACTCCAAACCCTAAACCCTAATTAAAAAAAAAAAAAAAAAAAGGTGTATACCTGTAGATTTTTGAGTATAAAGTCTTGTGAGGATGCAAGAGGAGGAGAATTAAAAGTAGCACAACATTGTGAGCTTCCTCTTAAGAAATCCCCATCTACTGTTAATGCATAATGCCCTCCTCCCCCTACTGCTATCATTTCTCCATCGGTAAAACAGAAGAAAGCATTACTGCTGCTCCATGTATATACATGAATTGTCTAAAAAAAAAAATTAAAAAAAAAAAAAATTTGAAAAAAAAAATTTCCTAAACCCTAAACCCTAAACCCTAAACCCTAAACCCTAAACCCTAAACCCTAGAAAAATATTAAAAAATAAAAAATTCGAAAAAATCAACAATCATTATAAAAAAGAATTAAAATAATAAAAAAATATTAAACACTAAAAATTAACACTAAACCCTAAAAAAAAACCCTAAACCCTAGGAATAAACCCTAAACCCTTAAAACATTCTCCAATTAAAAATACTACCACAACACAACCAACAATACCCTAAACCCTAAACCCTAAACCCTAAACCCTAAACCCTAAAACTTACAGGATTCTCCGCTGGCTGTTTCCCATCAGGGCCCTTATACGTGAAGACGAAAGTATCCGCTGCGGACAAACCCTAAACCCTAAACCCTAAACCCTAAACCCTAGAAAAAGAAGAAAACAAGCTATAGAATTTGTTTTACCTCAGGATTTTGGATTTACTATCTATTTAGGGTTTAGGGTTTATCTAGGGTTTAGGGTTTAGGGTTTACCGGATCCATAATACTTATAAGACTTATGAAATTCTTCAGTAAATGCACCAAAGACAACTCCTTCTGAATCTTCTACTGCTATAATACAACCCCCTGAATGAGATACACGTCTGAAGAACCTGCAGCAGCAGCAGCAGCAGCAGCAGCAGCAGCAGCAGCAACAGCAGCAGCACTAGTAGTTGTAGTGGTAGTTTGTAAAGTAGGTGGCAGATGATTATAGCTGCAGCAGCAACTCTTGAGCAGCTGCAGCAACAGCAGGCTATGCAGCGTCATACTGCAGCAACAGCAGCAAGACCACCAGCAGCAGCAGCAGCAGCAGCAGCAGCAGCAGCAGCAGCTTACGTCTGGAAGGAGACACCATGTAGCTTAAGACAGAAGCCAAGCTCCCATCTCTTAAGAGAAAGCATAAGAGGTAAATGCATGCATATCTGCGTATACACCGCAAAACCCTAACAAACCCTTTGCTGCAGCAGCAGCAGCAACAGCAACAGCAGCAGCAACAGCAACAGCAGAAAGGGGCTACAACAGGCAGTTTGCTGCTTCTGCTGCAGCAGCAAACCGTCTTCTAGCAGCAGCGCAAACATAGCAGCTTCCTACAGTAGTGCTCTAGCAGCACTACCAACAGCAGCAGCAGCAACAGCAGCAGCAACAGCAGCAGCAACAGCAGCAGCAGCAGACCTGTGCAGCAATATGTGGTGTAACAAACTCTGCTGCTCCTGGTGGTCTTTCTATGATTGGTGCAGCAGCAGCATCATCAGCAGCAAGCATAGAGAAGCAGCGGGGGCCCTTCATCTCTTCTTGCTGCGGTGCAGCAGCAACTGCTGCTGCTGCTCCTCCTCCTCCTCCTGTACCCTCATCATCTAACCAAAAATCTACTTGCTGCTGCTGCTGCTGCTGCTGCAGCTGATTATGCTGCTGCTGCTGCATGTCCTCCTCCTCGAACCCCCAGCTACCGTAAGGAGTCGAACTGTATACAACACAACAAACCCTAAACCCTAAACCCTAAACCCTCAACAGCAGCAGAACTTCTATGTAGGGGAGATATACTGTTTATAACTATATAATTAGGGTTTAGGGTTTAGGGTTTAGGGTTTACGATTTGGCCTGCATCATCGTCATCTCTGCTGATCGATCCAACGCCTCTTCCCAAGCATTTACAACAGCATCTGTGCACAAACCCTAAACCCTAAACCCTAAACCCTAAACCCTAAACCCTAGATAGGAGATACAAAACTCTAGAGGCTCAACCCTAAACCCTAAACCCTAAACCCTAAACCCTCACTTGACGAGCAAGGCACCATTGTACAGTTGCGAATAGAGCGACGGCGCTCGTGCTGCTGCTGCTGGTGCTGCTGCTGCTGCTCTCCCTCCTCTCCTTCCTCCTCTTCTTCTTCCTCTTCCTCCTCTTCTTCTTCATCTTCTGATTGCTGCGAAGCGCAACAACACAGAAGCACAATCCCGCTGCTGTTGCTCCTGCTGCTGCTGTTGCTGCTGTTGTTGTTGCTGCTGCTGCTGCTGTCCTTGCAGCAGCAGCAGCAGCAGCACCGTTAGCCCCCCTCTTATCCCGCGGCGAAACAGCCAACAGCAGCAGCACCACCACGACCACCACCACCACCACGACGACCACCACCAACAGCAGCAACAGCAACAGCAGCAGCAGCAACAGCAGCAGCAGCAGCAGCAGCAGCAGCAGCAGCAGCAGCAGCAGGACGTACCCATGCATCTACTCTATCAATTAATTGTCTTGTAAATGCGTTTGCCTCCGATCGATTTAAAAATCCAAAAAGAACAAAAAGACGACGACTGTCGCTTGCTGCTGCTGCTGCTGCTGCTGCTGCATAGCTGCTGCTGCTGCTGCTGCTGCTGCTGCTGCTACCACTGCTGCTACGTCTTCTCCTGTAATATAATAATATATAAACATATATATTATTATTTACACCTAAACCCTAAACCCTAAACCCTAAACCCTAAACCCTAAACCCTAAACCCTAAACCCTAGCTACAGATATGTATAGACTTACTCTCCATGACTTGTTTGCTGCACCTTAACTGGAGACAGTTGCAGTTGCTGCAGTTGCTGCTGCTGCTGCTGCAGTTGCTGCTGCAGCAACTGCTGCTGCTGCTGCTGCTGCTGCTGCTGCTGCTGCCTAGTATCTGGGGAAGGAGACACATCATGAGGACTCGAGTGTCTCCATGCCTTTAGCCATTCACCAATCGATCCTCTCCTCTGCGGAGACAACTTTTGCTGCTGCTGCTGCTGCTGAGCAGCTGCAGCAGCAGCAGCTGCTGCTGCTGCAGCAGCTGCAGCTGCTGCAGAGCCTGTGAGGAACTCGTCGTCACGCGGGGAGAATAGAAGAGATCCTCCTCCTCCTCCTGCTGAGTCCCTCTTTCTTCCTCGCCGCTGCTGCTGCTGCTGCTGCTGCTGCTGCTCTGAGGGAGGAGTCTGCTGCTCTGCTCCTAATGTGCGCAGCAGCAGCTGCAGATAAGAGGGTGGCTCTGCTGCTGCTGCTGCAGCAGCAGCAGCATCTAGATAGCTACATGTAGCAGTAGTATTACTACGTTTAGCTGCTGCTGTAACTGCTGCTGCTGCTGTTGCTGCTGCTGCTGGTTCTGCTGCAGCAGCAGCAGCAACTAAATCATCAAGAGGAGGAGCCATAACGCATGCACACTCTATTATATCCCTGAGGTGTATGTACACCTCAGGTATCTGTCCGCTCTTACTTATTGACTCATTAGCAGCAACATTCGAGGGAGGGCCTGCAGCAGCAGCAGCAGCAGCAACAGCAGCAACAGCAGCAGCAGCAAGATTAGCAGCAAACAT